GTGTGTGTGTGTAAACTCATACCTAAGTCATATAGTATATTATGTACAGTACGATGTTGTAGTTTGTCTGTTGAATCTTACATACAGTGTGAATACAGGGTGCAAACTGTGTCCCGAGGTGGGAGCCGTGTGTGTGTGTTGTGTGTGTGTGTTGTGTGTGTGTCTGCGTGCGTGTGTGCGAGTCTGTTGTATGTGTGTGTTTATGTGCATGGCTCAGTTCCAGATCTTAAGGAAGCTGTCCCAGGACCCGGTGCACACCGCCATGCCGTCATCCGTCACACCCAGACAGCTCACACGATTGTCATGGCCGGCCAGGACTCCTACAGGAGGGACGAGGGAAACAAAAGGCGGCTTGTTACTGTGAGATGTTTTGCGTGTTTTCTCTGCACACTGCTCTGAAACCTCCTTAAAATGACACAGAGCGCAGCGACCTAGTTTTTCCATTTTAACTTGCAGAACATGGGGGGCCATTTGACAGAACAAGACCTTTTTTTAATCAAAAAGGGCTTAAAGCATGAATTTATTGGTTCGGCTGGTATGTAGCTTTGGTTTCTCAAAAATGTGTCACATGTGAACTTAAAACTGTCAGTGATTAATGGGAATAAACAACTGAATATTAGTACTGCAAATATACAGCCATATTTTGTTTAAATATAATGTAGTTTGTAGGTATAATACAGTTCATGAAACAGAATTTATGCACCGAACATCAAAGATTGTTTTTCAAGTCTGGGTAGTGAACATATTAGAAAGTTTTTATAACTGCACTATTTTCAGAAACATAGATATGAACAATTAATTTGATATTGAAATCAAACATGTTCAAATTGTGCTCCTTTAAATTTAAATGTACTTTCTTAGAGCAAAATCTTGTAGCTGAAGCTCAGGTAAGAGTCGATGTTGTTGCCATTTTTTGCATTTAAAATAAACTATCTATAACCCTGAGATAGATGTTTAAATGGAGTGATGAACATAAAAAGGTATGAGGCCACAAAAAGAACAAAAGATTGATTCTTTTATTCATTTTTTTTTTTTTTATAGAGGCCCAGTATCTTAATTAAGGAGCTCCATAATGGAAATTCTCCTCACTTCAGCTTCAAGTTAAACCTTTTTTAACCTGCTGAACTCCAAAACCTGCTGGTTAGTTTCAAAGACATGTTGGCTTTAAAAAAGAAAAAAAAGTGACCCATTTATCAAAACCAGAAACTGTAAAAGATCAGATCTTCTATTCTCAGACAACCCTTGAGCAGCTCCTCTATGATGCGCTTTACAAAATTTCCCCTTGGGGAATTATAAAGTATTTCTATTCTATTCTGTTTTATCAGAAAAATGACCTAAATCTAACCTTAAAGTCATGATATTTCACCAAAATGACTTTATACTACATGCATCATTTAATAATTTGCCAAAAAATAGACCTTTTGCTTTAACCAGATTCTGCAAAAGACAAAAAATTTTTCAATCCTTGGCGTAACAGTAAAACCTAGGGTGACTCAGCTGTGACCAACAGTCAGATGATAAAAATTCAGTATTGGTACTACCTAAGGGGACTTTTTTGTAAAATAAATAATCAAAGAATTTTTTTTTTCTTTTTGTGAGGTTAATGGCATTTTAACATTTCTGAGTTCTCTCTGCTTCTATCCATGGTTGTGTTGTTTCCATATTATTTTGCATTGCAAATGGCTCCACTGTAAACAAAAATGCAACAGGAGCAAAAACACATCCACAAACTGCTTTGAGTTCAGAGCATTAACGCAACTCTTTTCTTTTTTCCTGTTCCACCCACCTGCTCTGTCTCCCTTCATGGCGTCCCAGATGTTGCAGTTAAAGTCATCGTAACCAGCCAGCAGCAAACGGCCGGAGCGGGAGAAAGCCACGGAGGTGATGCCACAGATGATGTTGTCATGGCAGTAGAGGCTGAGCTCCTGATCTGCACGCAGGTCGAACAGCCTGCAGGTGGCGTCGTCAGAGCCTGTGGCGAAGGCGCTGCCATTGGGAAAGAACTGAGAGGGAGGAGGAGCAGCACAGGAAGGCAGATAAGAAGCAGGAAGTGTGGATGACAGTTTAAACAACACAGAAACACAAAGATACTCTTCTTAGGAGAAGCTAAACAGATACAAGGACAAGTGAGTGATTCTGCTGAGGAGAGGAATTCACCCATTTCCTACGTGTCCTAATATTACAGAAAGCTCCTCAGCGTCTCTTCTCTTCTAAGAGATGATCGCTGTGTTTTAATAGAGCCTCTGTCCACCTGCCAGCCTGTGTGATGCATCAGTCAGCGGTCAGGATGTTCAGATATGGTGTTAATTGATAATCTTGTTAATCCTGTAGCGCGCTTCCAGTTTAAATCCCTCCCAAAGCTGTGGACAAGACAGCGTGTGACGTCACCAAGACAAATCCTGGAGCGGCTCTGTTGATAATGTATTAGAAGGGACACAGGAGGGGTGGGCTGCCACTTAAGGCTGCAGTTGGTTAATACCTGAGCCAGCTATTATGATGATGTTTCAGAAAATAACGCTGTAGCAGGTATGTCTATGCCTGACCTGTTAGTCCGTAGTGGGGGTCAAGTAAGCGCAACTTGATAGCATATGTCATTTGATTTCTAATGGAAGTTCTTTATATCCCAAACTAGCCCGACACATCGTCCCCACAGACTGAGTAGTACGACTGAACTCCGCGTCTAAAATCTGTGATGCTGGATTTCTTTTTTTTATAAAAAGAATAGTTTTCGGTCATCAGGTAACTGGTGCCCTGAGCTCACTCACACAGATGGCGTTGATGTCCGACTCGTGGCCCGTGAAGGTCTGCCGGCACATGCTGTCCCTGATGTCCCACAGTTTGACCGAAGCGTCGCAGGCTCCCGACACGAAGGTGCGGAGGTCAGGTGCCAGGGACAGACTCATGACATCGCCGGTGTGACCCGAGAAAACCGTGGTCTGCTGACTCGTCTCGATGTCCCACAGTGCACTGGGGGACAAAGAGCACAGAGTTCATCAGCATCGATCGGCTCGGTTTGGGGGAAACAGTGTTTGCGCTGCGCCGACATGTTTGGGTGTGTGGGACTCACCATGTGGTGTCTCCTGAACTCGTGATGATTTGATTGTCATCAATGAAACGGCAACACGACAGGTAACCTGAGAGGACGGAGAGTTGGGTCAGACTGAAGCGAACTGACACTTGCATATTAAATTAGAGTGGAACTAATGGCTTCTACTGGGATCCAAAATGTGGAAGAAATATCAAGTCTCTGTCTTGTTAATGCACTAAACCCCAAATTAGGGATGCACGATATATCACCGACCACATCGGTATCGACCGATATTAGTGTTTTTTCCCATATATCAGTATCGGTCTGATAAACAAATTTAGCAGATGTGAAAAATCGATGATTGTCTAACATTAGCGCATTTTGATATTTCTGCTATTTCACAGATGGTTTTACTTAAATGGGCCTGGACTTGAACTATATGTTAAAATATGTTTTACTTTTGTTACGTAATAGAGAAGACTATGTGGTCTAATTTGGTTTCTTCTTTTGAATAGTTTTCTCGTTCTCACAGTGCTTACTTATACTCATTTTTTGGTGTGAACAAAAATTTAATATAGACATCTGTAATATCGTGATATCAGAAATATCGCGATATCAGAAATATCACGACTAATATCGGATATCGGTATCGGCCAAAAATTGTAATATCGTGCATCACTACCCTAAATTTATGTCATTTGCATCCTTACAATAAAACTTTGCCCTTAAAGCCCTGTTTTAGACACAAATCTATCTTTTCAGGAGAGTATACATCAAGTAAATGTTTTTTTTGTTGTTTTTTATCCTTCTCAAGCTGCATTTGGGCCCAATAAAGTAGCATATAGCTGACTGCAGGTATAAGGTACTTGATGCTGCTCAGAAAGTTTATTTCTGTCTGGTTTCTGGTTCTGACTTCTTCTGACCAACAGCAACATCAATCAGCTTCACTAAATAGTGCAGGAGACATGTGCCATCTCCAAAGAAAACTACATTCTTCTTGCATCGGCGGAGTCTTGATATTAAGTGTGTGGCTCCGTTGGGTGTTCTTTGGTAGATTATAAAAACAGTTTATTCCAATTAAAGTGTCTCGACTAAACAGATAGCGACAAAGCTGTAGTACCAAACACAAGATCTGCTAATTCTTGTCATGACACTAAAACAAAAGGAGAAATTGTGCTAAATCTAACAGCAGCTACGGCGTCACAAATCGGGAGTCTCGCACACAGAAGTTGATGTCTCAGCTCATTAAGACTGTGTTACCCTGCGATTAATTAACCACGTAAATGAAATCTTCATTGTTTGGAGATTTGGGAGCGGAGCTTCCCCATGAGGCGGGCGACTGCCACGCGCTCGCCTGAAATATCTCGTCAGTTTGATTCAGAGTTGAAATAGAAAAAAAAAAAATCAGAGGCGGTCGAGAGCGTGACGTTCCCTCACCTGTATGGCCAGGTAGTTCCCTGCTGACCCTGACGTTGCCTTCGCGCGTCTTCAAGCAGTAGATGGAGCAGATGTTGTCGAGGCCTCCGCAGGCCACGTAGTTCCCAGAGGGAGCGTACGCACAGGTCATTACCCAGGAGGAGCGCAGGGGGATGGCGTGTATCTAAGAAAGGAAAGGCAATCGGAGGCAGCAGAATGAACCCAAGTGCAAACTTCTAAGAAGAGAATAAAATGGGTCAGTTTTCACGCTGAAAATCATGCAAAGATTTTTACCTTGTTAGTGGTGTAGCTGTCCCAGACGATCAGTTTTCCATCTTGAGAGGCACTAACCAGAAGCCTGCAGGGACAAAAAAAAAAAGAAGAAAAGTTTGGTTTTTCATTTACAACACATGTTTATGTGCAACATATCTGAGCAGCCCTAGAGGTTTTTTTTTTTGCTGTTCAAGTCATTAGCTCTGCACCCAAAGCTCCTTTCAACACCATGTGCCCCAAACCTGTGTGGGATCACATGATTTTGCTCAGCGAAAACTCTGAGATGACACGAAATCATGAGGTCTGGGTGGAAATTAGTTGTTTGAGTAGCATACACCAGTGACTGAGCCTGGCAGCTTTTCATAAGGGGCTGACACCATTACTAACACTGGGGTTAATGCAGAAATCATATCTCATCATCTTTTTTCTCTGCAGGGCAAATCTCTGTAAGTGAAATAGTGGTTTGGGTTTTTTTTTTTTTGGTCACTTACTTCTATAATTTGCTTATGTAGAAATGATTGCCATGTAAAAGTACATCATGAGGACTCATATAAGCTTTTTATGTAAGCCTTAATTGACGTAAGAAAAATGTAGAACAGCTATTCCAAGTTTTGAACTGTTGATGTTGCATTAGGGTTAGAATGCAGCTCCAGGTCTATGAGTATGTGCACAAGCGTCTAGTTGGCTTCACTGATTGCGTTTACTGGATGCGAGGGATGGCCACACCTCTTGGCTCCACTCCTCCATCTCACCCACATATGTGCATCTTATTTTGCTAGATTTGATTCAGTTGGCAGGACAGGAGACGCTGCAGTTCAGATCTTGAAATCAGTAAACAGAGCTCAGATTCTACAGCTACACTAGAGGTTCACCATCTTAGTTTAGCGTGTTAGCATGCTAGCATTTGCAAATTGGCAGCGATGGTAGTGCAAAATGAAGGTGATCACAAAAATGATCGCAGTTCATCTCAAGAGGGATCGTCTGCCCCAAATCCATCCAAGAGCTGTACTGGTATTTAAAGAGTACAGTCTGTTTTTATAGGATAGTAATAAGGAATGATTTCACATGTGATTTCCAATATAAAAAAAAACTGTAATGCATCACTGGTTTAGGGACATTTGGTAACATGTCTCCGTCCACCATCCCACCTGAAGCTTTACATGTAGAGACAAACCACTCGGCTGATTGCTTCCAAGTGTTTGTTTTCTCCTGACTGTAATGATGGTAGTGAGTAAAAGTCAACCATCAAGATGAGAAAGTACAGACTCACCTTGAGTCCGAGCCCCAGTGCATGGCGTAGATCTTGGCGAGGTGGCCGCGGAGGGTGCGTCTTGTCCGCATCTGAATCCTCCCCACAGGATCCAGACCAGCGGTTATCTGAGTCAGAGGATCAGAGAAAGTAGGTTTAGTTCATTTCAGCCTATTTTGTTGATAAGTTGGGGGGTGATGGAAGAGTCAACGGGAAAAAGGAACAATACGGCAGCTAGGAGACGCTGAAGACAGTGAATAACACAGGAAGAGATAATATGTCATGGTAATAGAAACTAATGTGTATACAAACTCATTTTGAAATGATTTGTACTACCTGTGGGTGAACATAAGGACGATCTTTTCCTAATTTTTGGAGCTTTAAGTTCAAGCTATGTAGAGAGCAACATGGCTGGATTTTTGTCACATAGTGTAAGATTTGGTGAAAATGATTTAAAGCAGTTGTTTTGGCTTTTCAGTATGAATCAAAAAGCTATTTGACTTAAAAAATGTCAAACTCCTTCAATGACATCATTCCATGTTACCATACTGATACACAATGTTAAACCTCAAATGATTATTATTCTTTTTCTTGTCACATTCATGGGACTTACCTGTGTCAGGGTTGAGTCTCCACATGCTTTCCTGGCATCCTGATGGACACGAAATCACATGTAGAGAAAATAAGACTCGACCCAGCAGGTAAAACATGTCAGTATTACAATGCCAAAGATGAAAATACAAACTACAAAAAGCACCGGACTCACTCTTATCTGGTTCCTAAGCTGCTCGGCCTCCTGACGAAGCTGCTCCAGCTCACTCATTTTGAATCCGTCCGAGCTGTCACCTGCAAAAGTTGGTCGAGGCACACATTTAAATATCAGCCGCTGATTTACATAAAAACATCATCTCAAATTTAATAAAATGACTGCCAGCGTGGATTAGCATAGGTTCATGCTCTCATAATCCCATAATCCAAGGGTCCACTTTCATCAAAAACGAATCAATTAGGCAAAATAATTTACTTAAAACACTGTTTGCCCCTGATTTGGGGAAATAAATATTAAAACCAGAGGACACATTTTAATCTCTACTGAACACACGGTGAGAAAAAAAAAAAAAAAAAAGAAACTTGTAATCCATTTATGGCTGTGCAACCAAACCTGGTTTAACTGAGGAGAATAATCTGTAACGACTGAGCTGCCACTCTGAGCGAACGCTGCCTTCAAACGCTGAGCAGGTCAGTCAGAGTTAAAGCTGGACATCCTTCATCCTTCATCTGAGCCACTGGGCTTTTAATTAGCAAGAATAGAAGGAGTTCCTCCAAAATTAGACGTCTACAGGGTGCGGATGCATCGGCCCTGGGGTACCTGGGGGTCACGCTCACTGTACGTCACGTCACCGCATTCAGCAGGAAGCAGTATTTCCTGCTCCTGACAGCAGCACAGTTACACATTCAAACAGTCTCCAGGACAGGCAGCCCCGTATTTGCATTCGTGAAGCAATTCAAATTCATGATAACGCTCCACGGCAAACATGCAATACAGTACCACGCTGCAAAGGGAGAGCAATTAGCTACAGTAGACCACTGTTCCCTGGAGGGACCTGCGACCAGATGGATCACACAGCACTAATGGAAGCCAAAAGGGGTGCATCATGGGTCTCAGTCTCCTGGCACAGCTGCTCATTTAGCCAATGAGGAGAAGAAAAGCTGAGGGTGGAGGTGGAGGGGGGGACAGAGAGAGAAGGAGGGAGGGAGGGTTGGAGCATCAGAAATCAGGCCTGGATGGGTCCAACCAGATGCTCGGATGCATGCTTCTTTTTTTTTTTTTTTTTTTGGCCTCTGGAGCATCAACTGGAGGATTTGTCATGTCAGGGAGTAGGAGAGGAGTGAAAGATATGAAACAGACTCCACCTAGCAGCAGACTAGAAGCAGAATAAGCAGCATTTTTGGTGCTTTAACAGCCTCTCAGAGCATGTTTTATAACACAAGGAGACACAGTGACTGGCCCCACCCCTTTGGATGCACATCTGATGTGTAACTACACCAACATGGCATGGCTACATCTGCAAGCTGGAGGATAGAGAGAGAGAGCAGAGCCTCCACAGCGGCGCATGTTTCACGCAGTAAAATGTGGATGTGTGCATGCAAGGCCTGTGGGAGCAGAGAAGCATGCAGCAGCAGCAAAGACGGAGCAGGTAGAAAAGCTCTTCACAGGTTTTTTTTTTTTTTACTCCACTGTGTGCCGCATTTACAGGCTGAAATCAGAAGGAGGAGGAGGAGGAGGAAGGGGGGCTCTCTCTCGATTGCAAGCATATTGATCAGCACACATGAAGGCCTCCACCACATCTCGTTCAGAGCTGCTAAAATGCGGATGTAGCTACATTTCATTTGGTGAAAAATGATGCCATGAATACGCACATCATCACCCAGCCATCTTACACTGAGCCACGGCTGCTGTCAGTGTTGGATAATGGGTGGCTACCTGTTAATTCTCCCGATGATTTGCTGCCCGTCCAAAAAAAAAAACACACACAAAAAAAAATATTAAAATAAAAAAAATCTAAAATGAAACCAACGTCGCCAAAATTCCCGATTAGGATCTCACTGTGTGTCTTTTCCACTCATGAAAAAAAAAAGAAAGGATCCACAGATGAGGCTCAGTCCTTCAGTAAACAGGCAAACGGAGGAGGAGGAGGGCTCCACACATTTCCATTTCTCTGCTTTTCC